CGTGCACATCACCAGACCAGCGTGGGCCTGTGCTTCTCTCCTGTCAATGGCACTCCCGCAGAACTCCATCCTCAAGGAAGTACAGCGTGGCTCTGAACCTCAGACACTGCAATGCTGCATCCCAACCTCGCTCACCACACGGGTGGCCCAACGGACAGTGGGAAGGCACAGCCCTCATCGCTCATCTTGAGGACACGCCCAAGACCACAGAAAACCCCCAGCCCCGAAGCATAATCTGTCTTGCTATTCTGTGTGTACTTTTCAAAATTCTGCTTAATAAACCTCTTTCTGCCTCTCACTGACAGGTCCTGAAGATTCTTTTCCTGTCACGGAAGTCAACAAACCTACAAGCCACCTTGTGGGTGGGGTGAGCTGATGTCCTCATATCTTTTTGTCCTTGGACCCTGTCGGTGACAAGATGAGAAATTTAAGCTAACAACCTGCTTTGTAAATGTAAAAAGCCTGGAAGGCCAGGTCCCACTGTAAGTCACATATGCTTAAACTCTGCTGTGGGCCATACACGGAACCTATAACTTACATCAAATACTTTCAACTTTAAAAAAGCTCAAGAGCCCTAATATTTTCTTTTCCCTTTTTGTTTTTTTGGAGACACAGTCTTGCTGGTGCCTACACTGGCCTCAAACTCGCAACCCGCCCACCTCAGCCTCCCAGAGCCACTGTGAGGAAGAACCCTCTTTTTCATGGTGGTAAATGATACCCAAGAAAACCTGCTATTTTAACCATCGTAAGTGCCCAGGTGGCACTGAGCACAGTCACACCGTTGTGCAAACATCACGCCATCCACTTCCAAAACTTGTTTATCTTCCTTGACTGAGGCTCCGCCCCAGTCAGCTCTGCCTCTCTGCTGCCACAGTACTTGGTTCAAAATATAAGCTCAGGAAGTGCTTGGTGTGGAACACTGAAATTTACAGTCATAAAAGATTAACCATTCTGTTACACAAATAAGCCAGATTACAGGGAGTGTGCTTTTTCTATAACTGAAGACCCAGAAGTAATTTATGACTTGTTTACACTTCCAGCACCAACTCGATCATATGCAAGACTTCTTGCACTCAGCTGTGTGAGCAGGTGGTAGTTATGCCTACACTGGGAAGGAGAGGCCTAGCTGGCTGGGACTTCAGGCCGCTTGTGGAGCTGTCGCTGTGGACAGCCCTGGCCTCCGCTCCTTGACAGATCTGTGTGACTTGGCAGTGACCATGCTGTGGAAATTCACTGAGTAGCCTGGGTTGCAAGTCCTGGTGAGCAGAGATTTCATGGGTCTTCTGTGACATTTCCAGTCCAGAGAAGAGGCAAAAGCTTCCCTGGGGGCTTCAGGAGACACCAGAGACCCAGAGAACAGGACAAGGCTCTGGACTGAGCTCAGGGTGCCTGGACAAGTGGCCCTCTCAGTCTAGGGTTTTATCACCTGGTGAGGACGCAGAAGCCCAAATGGACAGGGGGGATGTGAGCAACTTTGGGAGGGGGAGGAGGAGCCAAGATTTTGGAGGCTGACAGAGACACAAACACGTAGAAGTGACCAACAGGGCCACTGGCCAGCTCCCCTGGCCACCCTTTGCTAAAGCTATGCTGCTGTTGTTGGTTTGGGGTTTGTGTTATAATTTTGGCTCGGCTTCTCTCCTTTGTGAGGACATGCCTTACTCTGGGCCTCGTCCTTGGAATCAGGGCAGGGAAGGTGACTCCGAGCTGGCTCTGGCGCATGGATGCCATGCTCTAAGAGGGGACTGATAACCATCTGGCTTGGGAGTAACTCTGTGATGTTTGGATTTTGTGCTGGCACCACGCTCCGGGCTCTAAGCTCTGTGCTGTCACACAGTGTGCGGCCATTCCAAGAACAACTCTGTAAAATGGAGCTTTACTGCCACGGCCTTTGACTTCTTGAGATTCACACAAACACAGCCATCTCTTGCAACGTTTAATTTAATTTAATTCGGTTCAGCTAAAGAAAAAAAAATAGCTCTGAACCTGTCCATTTCCCTTTCTGAAAAGTGCCAGTCTTCCGTGCGGAGTTGGTGTTTTGTGTGCTGTTTGCCAAACTGTTATTTCACATATGTGAAAAGAAAACTGGCACAGGGTCTGCATGAACTAAACTGCTGGCAGAGGCCAGGCTGGAGCTTGCCATTGAGAAGATTAGGTTCCCAAGAAACTCCTCGAGCAGGCGCCAAGGTCCACAAACCGAAAAAGAGCATGCGTGTGCGCCTACACACAGACACACACACACATACAGAAGCTGATTTCTGCCCATTTTCAGGTAGGACTCTGTTAGTCATTTAAGTTACTGGAGCTTAAATATCTCAGCTGTACATGTTAAATATTTATTGAACAGTAAATGTACATGAAAAAGATAAATGAGAAACTGGGAATTACTTTTTCTTAATTCAAGCCTGGGCATTTCAATTTTCTTCCTTATTTGCTTCATAAACAGGACAGTTCGGAACTTCGCCACAATAAGACTGATTAGACCATCACACACAACATCTACGGGAGCCTGGGAGTCAGCAGTCTTTTCGCTGAAATTTTCAATTGCTTTCCTTTATCTTTTAGGCTTTTTGCTATTTTAAGTCTGCTGTCTTTCAGACCTTTGCCTTTGCACTCACAGATCAAATACAGAAGCAAGCTCAGGGAAGAGCAGAGGATTTTATTATCAAATTGCTAAAAGTAGGCAAATTCCTAGAAGTGCTGTCTGGAAACTGCTCCCTGGAGCCCCAGAGTCTGCACCCTTCGTTGGCCACATAGGTTGTGGGGCTGTGCCATCCTCATGGAGGAGGCATCTCATCCCTTCGGGGCCTGCCCTTAGCCACATTACAAAAGGGTTTAAGAGCGTGCACAGGTAAGACAAGGGGATCATCTGAAAATTAGGTAGACACTTCTATACCTTAGTCTTATAAGATGGAATGTTTCTAAATGAAAGACACAGATTTACTTTGGAAAACATTGAGGACTTTTGCTTGTCTGAGACAGGGTGTGGCTATGTAGTTCAAAATAGCCTAGAACTCACTGTGTAGCCCAGACTGGCCTCAAATCATAGTGACCCTCCTGCTTCAGCCTTCCAGAGTGCTGAGATTACAGGTATATGCCACCATGTCCAGCTAGATTTTCAAACTCATTTAAAAAATAATCACGTGCTAATGGAAAGTTATTCCCTGTTCCTGGATAGGCAGACCCAAAATAGTCAAAATGGCCATACTTCCAAAACTGATATAGAGATTTAATATACTCCCAATAAAAATACCAACAGCATTCTTCACAAAAATGGAGAAAATAATCCTAAATTCATATAGAACCAGAGGAGACTCAGAACAGCAAAAACAATCCTGGGCAATAAGAGAAAAATGGGAGGTATCACAACCCCAGACTAGAAGTTGGATTACAAAGGTAAGTGATTAAAAACGGCATGGTATTGGCACAAAAACAGACATAAGGCTCAGTGGGCCAGATTAGGGGATGCAGAAACAACCCCAAGTACATTCAACTATTTGTTGAAAAGGGATGAAAAACGTATACTGGCAGAAAGGTAGACTCTTTAGCAAAGGGTGCTGGGAAAACTAGCTATCCACATGCAGAAGACTGAATCTAGTCCCATATCTCTTACTATGCATGAAACTAAAACCAAAATGGGTCAAAGATTTAAATGTTAAAACAGAAACAATCTGTTGGAAGATAAAGTAGGTAAAAACTATTGAAGTCAGAAGGATAGGCAAGGACTTTCTGAGAGAACCCCAGCTGCAACAGGAAACAGTTGCGAGAATCAACAGATGGGATCATACTAAACTAAAAATCTTCTGCATAGCAAAAGAAACAACCCGCGGAGTGAAGAGAAGACACAGAATGGGGAAAAAATTTTTGCCACAACTCCTCAGACAGAGAACTAACATCTCGAATGAAAAAATTCAAAAAAATTAGATTTCCCCCCCCAAATAAAACACCCAATCAAAGAATGGCCAAGCAAAATGAACAGACAACTGTCAGAAGTACAGATGGCCAATAAACACATGAAGAAATGTTCAACATCACTGGCCATTAGAAAAATGCAAATTAAAACAACACTGAGATTTCACCTTACCCTAGAAAGGATGGTCATCATCAAGAAATCAAATAATAACAAATGGTGCAGAGGCTGTGGGGGAAAAAGAAACCCTTCTATATTGTTGGTGGGAATGTAAACTAGCACAACCATTATGGAAATCAGTATGGAGAGTCCTTAAAAAAACTGAAACCAGAAATTCTACTTGATCCAGGTATTCCTCTAGGTGTCGTCTCAAAAGAGTTAAAGACATCACACTACAGTGATCCATGCATACCTGTGTTGACAGTGGCATAACTCATAATAGCTAAATCTTGGAAGCAGCCTGTATGTCTGTCAACAGATGAATAGACAAGGTGGTATTTACACATAATGGAGTAGTACTCTGCCATAAAAATAGATAAATTTGAGTCACTTGTAGGAAAATGGATGCACCTTGAGACCGTAATGTTAAGTGAAATAAACAAGCTTGCATGGATTCTCTTATATGAGAAACACAAAAAATAAATAAAAAGCAAAATGAAAGCTAATAGGAAGCCGGGAGATTGATCTTTTGTAATAAGGAAGGGCACCAAGAGATGGAGGGAGAAGGGAGGAAGGGAAAAGAATGGGGATGAAAAACAAATTAAGATGTGTTATATACCTGTGCCAACTCCCCACAAGGAATGTAAGCACTATGTACTGCAAATGTGTGCTAATATAAAAAATCACGCGCTTTCCTTCGTCCTTGGAATACCACCTATGTGGGCAAATCAGTGTCTAACAGGACTGTCATGCCAGGACTCCATCTTCCTCACTCCACCCACAGAGTAATATGTGACTCTGGCTTGGCCAATCACACTGTGCCATTTCCTTGGCCACAGAAAACAGCCCAGGGGCGGGTATATGGCCCAGGAGGGCCAATCAGCGGCCTTTCCTGACACTGACTTATGAAAGGTAGAAGACAGATGTTTTCCATGGGAGTTTCCAGAGGAGGGGTAAGGCCATGTTTCCTGCCACAGGGGAAAGGCTGGGAGCTTCATCTCAGAATGTAATCAGAGACAGGTAAGCTCAGCTGAGGGACAGAGGGTGAGTCTGGGCAGTGCTGGATCCCAGTTCCTGACCCTGAGCTCTGGTCACGGCAGGTCTTAATCCTGAGAGCAACTCCAATAACATTACAGCTACTTAAACCAAGAAGTTCCCTCTTTGTTCATATTGGTTAAAGTTTTTCACAGCTGAAATAGTTCTCAAAGTAGGACCCCATCTTAAGGTGACAATTACAGTATTGCTGTCTTCTCTAGTGACCAATAGCTCTCCGGCCGTGGGCTAATGAATGCCACCGATCTCTCATGCTTTTTGCTCGTGAACTTTCACATCAATTTATATGTCAGGAAATAAACACTGGAAAAAAACCTCAAAACAACAACAACAACAAAACAAATGCTGAAATTGATAAATTCTAGGGAAAAAAAAAAACCAACCCTCTTTATACTTGTGTTTTTTTGTTTTAGCTTTTTAAGCAGAATTATACGAACACACCGCTATCTATTTGGCACTTCTTAACACATGGAGAAACTTACATTCAGTACTGAATGCATGTATTGATTCAGGAGTTTACAGTACAGAAATTCTTCTCCACATCTCATTTCATCACTGTTGCTCATCAACCTTACAGGAGGAGTCAGGCCAAGCAGCAGACTGGAGAGGAATGAAAGAAAAGCTCCTACTCAGCAGGCACCCAAGTCTTCTGCGCACATGCTTACATCCAGCCTCTCCCCCTTCACGCAGGGCTGCAGACCTCAGAAACGCTGGCAGGTACAGACACGCTCCCTTTTAATTATCCCGCCGAACTGCCGAAGTAACTGATTGCCAGCTAAATAATTATAATCAAGTGTCCATTGTGCATAACAATCATTTAATGACTGCCATCCAAAACACTGTAATAAAGAGAGCTTTAATGAAGAAACCTGGACAGGCGCCAGGGTTTTATGGCGGTTTGCTTAAAGGGGAAGAGAGCCATAATCTGTAGTTAAGATTCAAAGAGGCCTTTAATCCAGATGCTCAACATTAAATAAGGGAGTGGAGTCATGTTTTGATCAAAAGTTACTGCATGCATAAAAGAAAGCAACATAAATGTTCTTTTAGGAAAAAGCTCCAGTAAATTATATTAAGTAAAGTGTTTGTAGCCATTTGCTTTGGAAAAAAAAATGAAAAAGAAGAGAACCATCTGATTTTCATTTTGAACAAGAACACTTGGCTAAAATAAACTAGATGGGAGTAGGATTTGATTTGATTTGTATAATGTCATTGAAAACAAAGTGAGTTATGGTTACATCTACCTTGTAGCAGTGACCGTGTTCTTCTAGGGGTCCTATTCATTTTCCAGCCTCACTTGGCCAGGCCAGGACTGTATCTCTGGGAAGTGTAATTATATTCGGACCCAAAGTCTTCACTGAAATGGCTGTGATGATCTCAGCTCTAGCAAACAGGAGTTCTCGTCTAAGTGGAAAACAGAAACCTCTCCATATAAAACTCGGGCCCACTGGCAGCGACTGGTTGGGCTACAGCTCAGTGTTTGTGAACACAATGAGACGGCAGGTCTTGAACCGCAGTCACTGGGGTTCTGCACCCTCATCTCAGCCTGGCCAGGGCAAACATGGGGCCTTCAGACTGTGTTGCGTGAATGCTGGCAGAAAATTAGCAGCAACAGCAATTCCTCTCAAGGAAAGAGGAAGAGGAAAGCAGAAGCACTCAATATGTTCCCACAGGTGAGACCCGTGTGGGCTCCAGCATTCCCTATGCCTTGGAGTGTCCAAGGAGCAGGGTGTGACTCACCTTTCCAGTGGGGTTCCAGCACCCAAAGAAACATCACCCCTATTTCCCCTTGGTCCCTGGGGTGATGCCTGTGCCAGGGCCCTGAGCACCTGGGGAAACCATCACTCCAGAGGTTCACTTTTTGTCCCAGGGCAAACAGACAGAACAAACTGTCCTGGTTCTCTTGAGACACCAGAACACCCTGGTCTTGGGCTGGGCATGTGTGTGAGACACACAGACAGACACAGACAGAATGAGGTTAGGGGACTCATCCTCTGCCTAGCTGGGCTGCAGGACACAGACAGCCGAGACAGATCTTCAGACACCACGTCAGCTTAAGACTGACCTGGCAGAAGGGGAAGGAAATCAATTCTGACACCAGGACATTTTTCTGACATTCTAAGTTGTCAACCTCAAACAAAAATACAGAGGTGACTCTCCAACAAATGAACTTTTACTTGGGACTACAGTCCAAGACACCCATGCACGGGCCAGGGTGGCCTCTGGTACCTCCACAGAACAGAAGAAAGCTTGGGTGTTTTGTTAGGAGAGAGAAATCCATGCAAATTATTAGGAAAGAAAGTACATTGGCACTTAGGGTGCTCTGGGTGCTCTTTTTCATTTGTTTACAGAACTGGCAAGCAGCGATGGTTACTGGGCAAAGGTATTAGTCAAGGCGGGGGTGTGGCCCATCTGGTGCCAGGCCCTGGGTTCCATCCCCAGCTCCTCACCCTGCCCCCTCCCCAATCAGCTATTAGTCTTGAGGCCATAGCTGGGGGTGTCATCATCCACTGCTAAGTAAAAACAGTCCTAAAGAGAGGGCAGGCTGTTTCCTGCCTTGGTCTTTAAGGTGGTCCCTGCACCAGGTGTCTCGGACCTGGGCGTCTCCCCTTCCTCCCCATGCTCCTGAATGACATTTGAGTGGAGTCTGCCAGGAGCAACTCCATTTCGGACAGTGGATTTCCACGAAGAGTACGGGCAAACTCTCATTTGAGAAGCTGCTCCTGCCCTTGCAGACCATGGGGGCTGCAGCCACATCTGCCCTGCCCATGTCACTCCGCAGGGTCTTCCCCAGAGGGGTACCTGGTCTGCTCCTTTGCCCCTCAAGATCACCACCAACCCCCAAAGCCTCCAGAAGGATGTCCCAGGGGCTGGCTGCCTGCCAGGCAAGCGATCTCTGTGCCCACTCCTCACTTCCGAGGACCTCACTTCTTCCTCTGCAGCAAGAGCCCTAACAATAAACCCAGATGAAGGGCTTGTGGACAGGAACGTTTGAGGACTCGAGAAGACAATGCACCTAAAGCTCTATGCTGGGCACAGTGAGAGCTCAGCAGCTGGGAACGATCACGGTCACCGTCACTCACTTTAGGAGAAAACCCAAGTTCCTCAACCAGGCCTCTGACAATGTCAGTGATGACACAGCCCACCCTGCTCACTACTCAGCCCCAGCATCCTTGTTTCAATCCCTCCACACCCTGACCCCTTCCCCACAGAGTGTCGTCACTCCCTGTCACTCTCCTGCTTAAAACACAGCACACGCGGGTTCTCAAGTCTCCGGAGCACGTCACATGCTGTCTGTCTCTTGCTCCCCGGCCCAAATCTCACTTCCTGCACCGTCCCAACTCGCTCTGCTGGCCCGGCCCCCTCCGCCGCACTGGACATTGCAGCTCCTCCCCTCTGTGGTCAGAAGCACTTCCATATGGGCCCTCACCGACCATGGGGTTAACTCCCACCTCTGCACTCCACGCCTCCTTCTCTCACCACACCAGTCCCTTCTATCCCAGCACCCTCTTTTCTTGTCACCACTGGGCTCATTACTGGCGCAAAGTGTCTTTTTCATTTGTTTACAGAACTGGAATGCCAGCCCCATGAATGCAGAGACCAGGCCTGTCTGTGTTGACCACAGGATCGCAGGTGTAAAGTACACCAGGCACGCTGCACACACTGGGGAAGCACGCCACGCGCCTCCGCAGACAGTGGCCACTTGGTGACGCTTAGCTGACCCCACACACAGTGAGCCCCGGCTGCCCAGACTGACCCGACAAAGGGGCACACACACAGCACCCAGATGAGTGTACTATCCAGGCACTATTATGCCACTCAGGTGTGCAGGGACAGGTTCACAACAGTGTCCCAGGCTTAACAAGCGGGCGGCATGAGGGTTGAACACATGCAAAGAAATTCAGGGCTCTCTAGGGTTTGAGGAATCCACAGAAGTCTGAAGAGAGACACAAAGGACTAAGTTCACAGCGCAAGAACCAAACCAAACCCAAGCCCACTGTGAGCCCAGCAGCAGGGTTACCTTTCAATTCAACTCTTCCTTTAATATGTACTCAGGCATTCCCAGCCAGGCTCAGACAGTAGCAGATTTCAGAGGGAGAACTCTGAATTCGAGCAGCACTGCAAGCTACACACCACCATGCACAGTGCCTAGAGAGCTCCCATTGAAGTCCATCCTCACTGCTGCCAATAGCTCACTTTGTGCCCTTATCTTTAGGTCAGAAACTAGATCTCAGGCTTCTTCAGCATCCTCAAGTGTCCAGCCTAATTCTTGGGTGGGTGATGGCCTCTCACATCCAGCAGACTCAGAACCGAATCCTATTCCATACCCATTCTTAGATCTTTGGTAAATAAATTATCCTCTTCTGGCCTTCCTTTGCCCACCCCACAAATGTATACCAGGAGAAGTAGTGGGAGGATCTGCAAAAGGGACCTGTCCATGCTCAACAGCAAATAGGCACTGAATAAATCACAGTGACCTTTCTGGGTGAGCAGTAAGTCAAGGGCCCTCTGAGCATGGACTAACACCTCCAAAACTGTGAACCCTGGGAGATCTTCCCCCTTTTTAAACTGAGTATCTCAGGTATCTGCTGCACTAACAGAAACCTGATGAACACAGTAGAAAATAGCAGGAAAACATAAACCATTGCTCTCATGTTTTATTGCCACTCCCCATATAAGAAGCAGCTCTATATATTGGCACTGAATGGTCTGTACAGTGAAAAGTGGCAATTTGGGCTGAATACCAGAAAACGTCACTGACTGGCAGAAGCAAGCAGTTACTGGGTATCAGAAGTCACTGGGAAGTTACAAAGAGACAGACAAACTATGTAGTATGAGAGAACTCACAGCAAGATTCCAGGCTGCAAACCAGTGAGAACTTCAGTATTCCCGGACACACCAAAAAACCAAGTCACTGCAGCAAACAGCTGTGTGCATGTCCCTCTATGTGGCATCCTGGGGCTGTGCCACAATCACGGCAGCCACTGAGCCCATCCCAGGCTGCAGCAAAAGTCAGTCAAAGCAAGCAGCGAGCTGCCTGTCTTCAAAGATCCTGTAAAGCTGGCATTTACAGAAAAAGGGCAATGCAAGCCTCTTGCAGGGACTCTGCCACAGCAGCTGGGTATAGGGAATAACAGAACTACCGTGACAAAAAAGGAAAGGAAATATAACCATGGTGGGCATCTGTTGCCCTGCTTGCTCAACCCTCTGAGAATCACAGCAGTTTTCTAATCACCTAGCAATTTCTCCCGGACTCTTGGGTCTGGTGTCTTAAGTGGGGCTGTGTCACTCCTCACTCCAGAGGTGGGACATAGCAGATCTGACCTATGAGAGGAAGAGGTGCTCCCCACAGCCATAGTGATTGGGGAATAGTGGACCAATGAAGCAAGACCTTAGCAGGTACCACCGTGAACAAGGCTCTTTCCTGGGGGTGGCTGCACTTGCGGATGTGGTTCCAGGGCCACAGCTGCTTCTTGCTACCAGGAGGCGAGAGCCTGCCTAAGAATGAACAACATAGGAATAGGTCAAAACATTCACAACTGACATTTTGTGCACACGTGGATCTAGTGATGGGTACCCGTGAGTTTTTCAGCGTTGTGGACAAATTCACGTTTGCTTCAGTCTGTCTGAGTTAGTGTCTAACTTCTAACCCGAAGAGTTGGACGGATACAGTAATGGTGGTATTGTGTAGAGTTTAACACATTCGCAACAGGGCCGGAGTATATCTCACTGCTTGGTGGCTTGAAACACCCATTAGGTGGCTTTTTATTAATTATATTAGTAGAAAGATCAATAA